GTCGCTTTGCGAATGATATAAACCACAGGATAAAAACTCAAATATGCAGGATCGACAATTTTCCACAGCCATGTCGGGGGCGGATAAAGAAAAAACTATGAAAACATCATAAATTTTCCGCAGTCAGAAAAGTTTTAGAGAGCTGCTGACTCGCCCACACACTCGTAAGTGCACACATACATACTCGCATGTGCGCACGTACAAAGCAAAGCGAGGACCCAGAGCGAAGATAGCTGATTATCCAAATGAACTTTTTGCAGGCCGAATCAGTGGAAATTGCAAAAGGCCTTCTCCACTCACAATTAATGCCCGGATTGAAGAGTAGGGGAATGTTGCAGCTGTGCAGCAAGTGCAGCAAGTCGAGGACTCTGACCATCGCCATCGCCATCGCCGATTCCAGCAGAAAATCCAGCTCACAAAGGTCACCGAATTAGTCGGTAATTTGGCTGCTGAAGGGAGGGGAGGGGTTACTAGAGCAGCAGAGCAGCATTTTCGTAGGTCGGGTCTTGGGTTACAAGGTTCAATTTTGGTGAGTCAACCGGACCGCCTAATTGTCCTTTAATTGACCGAACTGCCAGGATGCCAGAGCTCATTTCCTGGGCTCTTGGTTGAAGAGAACTTGTCATCTGATGTCGTGGAAAACATTGAAGTGGGCTGCATTTTCAAAATAAATACATTCTAGTTTCTTATTCGTATTTGATTTGCTACAGCCTAATATAACTCTTTATACTCCACTGCTGTATTGCTCATATATAGGTTAACCCTTCGTAGTTATTGTGTGTCAGACATAACAAGCATGGTGTCTTCAAAGGGTTTTCTTTTGCCAGACTCGCTCGCGTAATACTCACATAATTATCATCGAAAAGGCGGAATGAAAACACCGAGAGACACCCACAGAGGAAATTATTGTACAGAGTGCTGCGAAAACATTATTAGCGTATTTGGGCCACAATCGCAGCAGTACAAATGGTTGAGAAAGCACATAGACACACTCCTTGCATTGCACAAAATTCTTGCCGACTTGTAGTGAGCATTGTTTTTCCAGCGTATTTTCCACCGCACACAACTTTTTGCCATAAATACAAATATTTCCCATGTAGGGTGAACCAGTGCTTTGCCTGCCATTGCTGCTCTCTGCCTTTTGTTTATTTGTTTTATTATAATAATCTGGCCTCCACTCCCAAAGGCAACACTTGTAAGGGGATGTGCAAGTGACTGCCAACTTTCCAACTCACTTTTGGCTTGGATGAAATATTTTTGTTGCTCCAACACTTATATTAGTGTATATATTTGGGCCGATTTGGTTGGTTCGTAAAATTTACCAATTTTTTGCTACAAATTAGAAGAGAAACTGCATAGAAGAGGCTTTTCATTTTGTGGCTCAATCATATAAGCACACCTTAGTCTCCACTATATATTGAATAAGAAACAAAATGGTAAAATAGGGAAATTCTTGTATTTGACAAAGGAATTTGCCTTTTTCTTCCAATCACAACTCCCCAGATCGGCCTGCTAGTTCTCCCAACTTCATATTGAAGGATTCAGTTAACAACTTCATCGTCCTTGCTGTGAACCATTGAAGCTTACTCTCATCAACAAAATGGAGCTGGCGAGTGAAGGTTGAAGAAAAAACGAACACAACTCCGTACAAATATTATGTCAGTGGCAATATTTACACTTTTCACGCTTTTCACGTTTCGACTGGCTTTTTATTTTCTCATTTTTGGTACTTTGGTACTTTGCTATCTCGTTCCATCTTTATCCATCTATATATCCATCCAACCATCCATCTATTGAACTTCTCTGCGCACTTTGCCATCTTCAACGCTTCGTTTGGCGCACTGGGTTTGCCAAAATAATATTCGTAAATAATTTTTTGCACCTTGATGTGATTTGTGCGCAAAAATGTTTTCCAAATGATTTGTTTGCCTAGGTATTTGCTTTTATCTGTTTTTCCCTGCTGTTGGCGAGGTGGTAAAAATGCCGAGCAGGAGCACTCAGTGTAATTGTATTTGCCTTTCGAACTTCCTTCGCGTCATTTTACGCCCACGCAACGAAAGTCAAATGCAAACAAATAAAACGCTAAAGAGAAAGAGCAGCGCCAAAGAAAATTCGGGGTGGCATGGAAAATGTGTGCCGGAAAATGGCGATGCACATTGATTAAATCAAATAAGACGAAGTCAAATAAGAAAATTGGATAAAGGCAATACAACAAGTTTGGCTCGTCAATGCGAACATATTTCAGCATACCGCAAAATTTCATTTTATAGATTGAATTCGTTCATTTAGAGCTTTGATCCTACATAATCCAAAAGCATGATACTAAAAATGTGAGAAATATAATAAATTGAAATTAAACTAAAAATAATTTAATTAAGTTAATTGCCAAACTAAACAAGTTTAATAACATTTATTTCTGATAAACCAATTTATTTATTGCAGTTTCCTTGTACGACTCGATGCGATGCTCTATTTCCGACATATTTTCGTCTGGACTTGGAAAACGTGATGCCAAGTTTTCCGCAAGAACTTTGTTATTTCCCAAACAATTTTCATAGCACGCAGGCAGGCGAACGGTGGGAAAAGCGCGAGACTCCCCACGTGCGTGTTGCGGAAAAGTGTATAATTTAAATATGTGTTGTAACACTTTGCTTTAATGGATGTAAGTTGTGCGGCGACTACAAATTGTCGGTCTGTGGCCGCCAGTAACTGACTCATTGTCAGTAAAAATAAATGAATAAATGTTAACTCCACGTCGGCTGTGGGCTATAAACGGCTTTAAAGTAATCGAGTCGCATAATAAGCATAAAAATATAATGCCCATATAAGCTTACAAAGTACGTCGATGGATGGACAAGGGAGTGAAATGAGATAAAACTGAATGGAGAAGTTGGGAACTGAAAACTGCTACTGATGGCACCACCGATGATGATGATGTCATCAACGACACCACCACGCAAGGATGTTCCCGAATTATGCATCCTGGTGGTTGGAATATGCCCAGTCGAGGGCACAAACTCCACCGAAATCAATAACAATAACAGTGGCGTTGAGTTGAGTTGAGTCGAGTTGAGATCCGAAGCAGACGTCGCCAACTCTCCGGCCAGACGTCCCGGCAAAGTGGCGCCAATATTTTTAGCAGTCTCGGTTCCGGATCGGGGTTGATTACCTCCCCGCATCCGCCTGGAAAAGCCACCTCGCCCGCCCACTTTCACATCTCTCGCCAGTGTTTGTCCTGTTCCGTCTGACTTGTCATGGCTTCTTGATGGCTCTGGTTTGGGGCTTTTCCCGATAGTTTTCACAGTTGGCCCCCAACTTTGGTGCTGCATGCGCTTTTTTGGTTTTTCTTTTTTGTGACTCATGTGCCTCGGAATATTTAAGTCTGTTGTGCGCAAATTTATTTGCTCTAAATGAAACGGGAATATTCCTTTGAACCCGGCAGCCTTACCCAATCCGATTTTTTCTTCCCTCGAGCTCCATCGAAAATTTCAATTAAAACCCGAGGAAATGTGTAATAAAGGTTTTATATTGCTACTCTAATGTGTAAGACCTGCAGTTGCTGGCCAAATTCACTTTGAACTTTTAATTGGGGTGTGGTGTTAATTGAATATTAATTAATTACCGACTGACAACTGCAGTGGCGATTTCTCACTCTTTTCAATTGAGTAAACAATTTAAAACATCCTGGGGGCTAAGTATATATTTTGCAAGAAGATCAAGTCCAAGCACACAAACAAAGAAAGGCGGACTTTAATCAAAAGTAATTAATATACCTCGTTATTTTTTATTTTTAATCATTTTGACGCTATAAATATTTGAAAAAGTCCATTAGTCGGACTCGAGTCTTGACAGCAAGTACCATATTCTACAAGGGTTTATATGATGCGCATTGCACCCACACAAACACACTCCTCTGGTTGCACTAATTAAATAATAAATTTAAGTAGAGACATGTTCATGGCATATTGTGGCGGTGTTCTATAAGATATATGTTTGTACGAATGCTCGCTGTCTTTTGACCAGCGCCTTTGTTGTATGTCATCGTCATTTCATAAAAAGCTACTGCCATGACGACAAGGACGACCTGCACTTGCATCCCGCCACTGAATTCACATTGCGTTCCTGTTTCTGGTAATTACTCAAGCAGACGTCGAGGATTCGAGGAGGACCGCCCTGCTCGGCGCCATCCACTTCCCACTTGTCGGCTGGCAAACATAATGAACATATGTGACTACTCGTGACACGGCACACTGGCGTAAAAAGGCTCTCTCGACACACACACACTCGCAAACACACGCACGCACACCCACACACACAGGCACAAGTGGGCGTGTGCACTGGCTGCACAAAAGAGGCGTGGCCGCGGCATTACGCGCATATAATTCTAATTAGTGGCATATGCCACCAGATAGCAGATACCATTGCCCACAGTAACCAGTGCATAGTCCATGTCTCAAATTATGTTATTACGCCTTTTGAGCGCTCGGATAATATAGCCATGGCAGCAGAGCTCGAAAAAACCTATAAGGATATTTTTAAAATGTAGCGAGCTACAAGAACTTGGGAAATTACAATTTACTCATTACCTTCTTGCACATAATATTTTATTTTAGGCTTGCAGCTATGGTGTAAATAGTCTTTAATTATATCAGTGTTCTCATTTTTTAAACAGGTAATTAGAGTTAGTAAACGGGTATACTAGACTCATTGAAAAGTATGCAACAGGTAAAAAGTATATATATTCTTGATCAGGATCAATCAATTCATAATATAATAATGCCACTTTGGAATCTTTAGCTTAAGTGATCTGGCACATTGGCACTTTTTAGTGTGTATAATTTTGGGTACCAATATTAAAGACCTATTATTTTGAGAAATTTAGAGAATAATAATTTCAATAGGTTTTCTTTTAGTTAGAAGTAGGCATTGATTCGAACAGCACAGGTGATTCAAAGCGATTGAAGCTTCAAGTCACTTGAAAAAAATTTTGGTACCGTCAACAACAAATTCGGATTTAGTTCGAATATAAGCTGAGCAGAACTATTTGAAAATGTCCAGTCTTGATGATTTCTTTGCCAAGAAAGACAATAAAAAATGTAAAAAAAAAAACCCAATTACTTGGCCACCGATGAGTTGTATAAAACGCTAGAGGAATCCTCAAAGTTGGTCACAGATGCGGATTCCGAAAAGTGCCTGGGAAACGAGAGTCGTGCAGAGGGGCCAACTGAATCTTCAGGATCGGCCCTAAAACCACTAGAATTTCGGCTTCTTTACTCGAATGAATCTGTTGAAGGGGAGGATGAATGGTGTGATTTCACAGAGGAGAATCGCATGGAGTACATGAGCCTGCGCCGCAGCATTGAAACTAGCCTTGGCTCCACAGCTCTGGTTCAGTTGGCCGGTGGCGAGGTTAAAGTTCAGGATTCGGAGCAACACGATAATGCTGGCGATGGCATAGACGTGGGTCAGGCGCTGATTGATGGCATGGGTAGTACCACTTGTCCCTGGAGAAAGATGGGGCGCCCACTTGAGCAACAGGAGCTAAAGGATCTAAGCGAGCAGAATCCTGTGGAGCAGCCGAAAAAGGAAGAACCGTCCGAGGCTAAGAGCCAAATCTACATACCACCTGCTCTCCGGCAAAGCCAAGGTGACTTCAATCAACGCGCCGAGCTGGAGAGCCGCCTGGTTCCAACCAAGATGTCTGGTAAACCTCAGGCTCCTGATCTCAACAGTGCCGACTATTTTCCCAGTCTAAGTGGCGCCAAGCCATTCAGGCGCACCAAGTAGCTTTTTCACGATGATTATGCTCCTTAAACTTGCCGTTTCTGTTTCCTAAGTTTACCGATATCAATTTTTCTGGTCGATCTGATACGGTGCCCCGCTTTAATAAAATTGAAAGCAAGCTGCCGCCCCTCTATTTTTTTTGTTGGCGTTTTACTCGTAAACAAATTTGCACTCAACAGGCCCATTAGCATTAAACGTCTTTTCGGCTGGTCCCCGATGTGTCGTTAGCTGTAAACGAGCCAAATATTTACAATCAAATGGGGTTTAGCCTTAAATGCACCCGGCGGACTGTGGAAACCAAAAACGGCAAATTACGTGCTCGCTTAATAATTAATTAGATCTGCCAACCGCAATATGCCGGAAATTTTCTAATATAAGATAACAACAACCTTTGAAATATAGTATAGTTTATTAACACCTATTGCTGATGGAAAGTTGTGAGTCCATCCATTCATCCATCCATTAATCCATCCCACAGACAATATATCCTAGTCAGATTTCATCAAACACAAATTTTTAGATCCACTTCGCCTGACATCTCTTCAGCATCCTCATATTATCCTTATGGCTGTATTCCCTCAAGCTCCTGTTCCAGATCGCGGATAAAGAAACCCTACATTCCTTCTAAGCAGGCTAACAATGTCCTCCATAGGGCCCGTAGCACGAGCAGCATCCGTAGGGACCACAAGGACCACAGCAGTGGTTGATCGAACGGAACCACTGGCCATTGTAGGGTCCGCAGAGCAAACAGGGTCCCAGTCCGCCGGTAGGTCCGCAGCAAGTGCCGGGCATCGAACACATTCCTGGATTGCACATTTTATGCTGTGAAAGGGGTTTCGGATATTTTTAGCAGGTAAGTTTGTCGATGCTCTTTCACACTCACATTAGCCTGATTACGGAAGTAGGATTTTCAGTCCCAGAATTTTGGTAGTCGTCCAAATAGATGTGTGCTGTTAGAGAGCCGAAACGAGAATGAGCTAGACCCACTCGCTGGGTCAACTAAGTTCTACAGTTTTAACTTGGATTTCGTGGCCTACTTTGTTGTATTTTATGGCCTGCTCTTCAACAACTTTTTTAAATTTCGTCAAATACAAATTTTGAGAGCTCTTACTCAATTCTGTTTGAGATGTTGATCTTAAATCATAAAACCGCTCCTGATTGTTTGTGTGTCCCATAAAATTCCACTCCATTGCTCCTCCAAAAATACTTCAGTGCGTCTCGAAGGGCTTCCCATTCCATGAAACTTTAGATGTCATAATTTAGCCAGGGGCGCAACAAGTTGGAAAAGCCAAGCCGCGACTGATTCTTCCTCTTTGCTCCTCCTTCCATTGTTTTACCGAGAGCGGAGTTTTCTTAAGCATTTTGCGTTGGGCAATGCACACAAACCTATTTTTCTTCCCAGCCAGGATTCCGTATTCTTGTTTACGGACAACAGAGCCGGGATTCGCCGTCAAAGTGAAGTAAAGTCACTTGACAAGTTTTGTCACGTGCGTCACATGTTGGAATGCCTCCCCATCCACCCCATTCACACGGACCACCCACTTTTCCGACTCCCCATTTTCCCTTCTCGCCTCCCCTATTTCCACTATGGCTTCTGAGCATTTCAAGCAATTTTCCAGGCATGCCTTGCCGCTTCTGTCGTTGTCGTCATTTCATTGTTTCAAAATTGTTGCTCATGTTGTTTCTGTTGTTGACCTGGTTCTCTGTTCTCCGTTCTGTTTTTTTTTTTTTTTTCTGCCACGTTTCTTGGTTGCCAACCGGGCTTCAACTGAAAAGAGCTCTTACTGGCGTAAATGTGTTTGTGATTATTTAGTTATGGCATCTAATTGAGTTTTGTGTTTGTTTTGCTAGCGCGGGAGTGTGCAAAGTGTGCTTATACAATAGCTAATTGAGTCGATTACCTCAACACTTCTCACGTTCTTACCCAAAATAAGCTATAAAGCTGCTTCTGAAGGGATTATGAATTAATCAATCTCTAAACGCTCAATTATTAAAAATTTAAGAAAATAAGTCAATTGCTGAATGTACATCGGTTTTCCAACATCAATATCCAGTCTATTACTTAATCAAATAAATAAACGAAAGGCAGGCAAAATTTCATCGGATTAACTTCTTATCTTTTACCAACATTAAATTAAAGCACTTCCGCCCTTCGTAAATAGCCCGTTTTTTTTTGGTGGTCCTTTCGCCTGGCTGAGCTTATTTTCTGTTCCGATTCCGAAACCCCGAGAGCCCCGGAAAAATTCCCGTGCCCCCTTCCGTAGCCAAACATCATCTCCATCGCGTGCTGGTCTCGTATTACAGCATTGCATACTTGCAGGCGCGTGCGCTCCCATTCGATTTGAGCTCCTTGGCGACTTTAAGGAAAATGCATCGAAGAGCCGAATATGTTGTGACTGTGAAGCTTAATGTTTCGTGTTGATGTGACTTTTTTCTACTGTTTTTCCGGCTTCTTTGCTGGTATTTTAACGGTTTTCAGCAATGCCTTTTTCAGACCGCTCAGAAGTTCAATGTCCCCCATTTTATGAGCGTCCGTGCAGCGGAAGTTTTGGAGCGATAAGTTTTTGTTCCGTTCTCATGTTTTTGATTTATTTATTTGTGGCTCACAGCTTAAAAGCGGAAGAAACTGCATTCAAATTTTCAATAATAACTAATAATGCATAATTGCACCAGGAATTTAAGCAGAAACACACATATTTGTTTTTTTTTGGCCATTAGGAGAGCAACAGGTGCTTGAACGCTTTTTTCGGTTATATTTTCTTGCTGATTTGCAGCGAAACGAGTTAAATTATAAATATAAATAAAACCTAATCCGCAATATGTGCTGCTAAATATGTTATTATTACCAACAAGTTAGAAACTTGGTCGGATTTTAATAAATTCGCATAATACCTTGAAGGGGAGTCAGTCGTGGTCACTTGGCTGCCTGAATTATCCAGCGATGGAGACTTTTATTAACGAGGCACTGGCAGTCAGGCGCAGGGGAATGGATGATGTCTGACTTTGTCAGTGAACCAGTGAATCAGGATACCATATCTATATCTGGAGCAGTCCGTGCAGCAGCATCAACAGTATGATTATCGTTGTGTGGGAATTAGAGCGAGTCAAGAGAACTCCTTGGTTGCATTTTCCCTTTCGCTCCTCTATTGGCATTTCTGCAGGGAAGCATAACTTATGCCCATTGTAGTTATGCATTGAATGTTTTGCTGAAGTGAACAACCAAACAACTGCTCAATCACTCACCGAATCCATCAGTCAGTGCACAAGAGCCTCGGCAATGGGAAGACGATTGAGGACTTATAAAGCGCCGCCAGCATTTATCCGCCTGAACGGAGTTTACTTATGGCCAATTATATGTTCGCGGAGAAATAATCCATTGTGGGTGCTGACTTTGCATTGTGCATTGGTAAAGTTTTGACAGAAGAGCGCGTTGATGTCAGGTGCTTTTGCCATTGAGAGCTACGGGAATCGTGCATCCCTATAAGATTATAATTAAATCTCCTGTTCATATTTTCATTGAGCGTAACACACAAGCTCATTAAAGCAATACAAAAAATTGAACAACTCATGCAACAGTTAACTTCAAATGGGGAAATCCATTAAGCATTGATTAAAATAAGAATACAACAGCAAGGGCCATTACCCATTGCCAATTTAGTTACCACACAGCAATTGACCCTTGATATTCCATTTTTGATCTGATTTGCACTCTTCTCCATCGATATAAGCACACACATAGAAATCAAATTAATATTTTTTCCCCATCAGCAAATGGAATTGATTTTCTCCACTGCCTAGAAATTTGCAATTATACAAAAAGGTTTTTGCCATGCAATATGTAAACAAAACCAATTTCAAGTGTTTGCATTCGGTGAATTTAAATTTTCGGCTATTGACCGTAGAGGCAGTTGAAAAATATGCGCATAAATCATGCAATTAATCTTAATTTGAGCTGCTAGGCCAGATGTCCGCACCTGTTTCAATAAATCTAATGAATTGCCACTTTAAAGTGTCGTTAAACTCAAGTTATGGGAGGGAAATCAGAACCTTTGAACGGGAGTCGTAGAAAAAAGTTTATAATTAAAACTTCACGCACGTTTTGGCCAAGTAAATAGCACAGACGCCCAGCACGAAGCCAACACTAGTGCAAACAGCAACAGCAGCCCTGGTTTAGGTCCTTTTGGTACGCATCCAGCGTGCGAGAATTTTGTGTTGCATACTTAAGTGGGCAGTGTCTTCAGAGACATACAAAACATATGCCATGGTTAAGGGCTACGCCACGTTGGGTTGGGGCTATGCTGGGCCTTGAGATTGACACTAATTATGGTACCCAATCTTTCTGGCAGTTCCTCGCATTTAAATACTGACCAGAGTAGACCAACGCCTGGAGACCAGAGCTTTTCAGCTGTGTAACCATCTCGTAACTAGCAAACATATTATTCATGAGCAACTGAAAAAACAACAGCAACCAAAATTGTAAGTCAAATGAAAGTTCATATGTAAATATTTGCAACATGGCTTGTTTGTTTTAAAATTTGGCCGAACAGTTTGGGTTTGGTTAGTTGATTGTGTGGGCTGCTGCATAAATAAATGAAAATGTTACAGCTCAAAACGGCCCATACTTTAAATCATGGTTGCTTTTTTCATCCATGACTTAAGTTGAACTACTGTAGTTAAATTATGTTCGTTTGACTATTAATCAAATTGTTACGATAAAGTGCCTTAAATATTTTTGAAACGTTAACCTTTCAACGACCAACCTGAATGAGCGTGAGTCATTTCGAGATAATTGTCTGAGAATAGGTCGATGCATGACGGCGGTTTCGTTTCATTTTATTTTTCACATTTTAATTGTATGCAAATTATTGTAAACTGTTGCGGCTTTGTCTTTTGTGCAGGACAAACTGTTCGTACATCGAAAACACTCTAACGAAGGGGTATCATGCGCTTTTAATGATGCAGGCTAACTTGGATTCTGATAAAATATACTATTGCGGTATTGTAAATGTGTATTGCTAAAAGTAATCGTAATGATTATGTTTCAAAAATTGATTACAAGCTAAAGAGTAGTTAATAAACAAGTTGTATATTTGTAGCAATTCTAAACGCATTAAAACAACTGATTTACCCCACACATTAAATTATTTCATATATTCATATATGACAGACTGTTGTTGCAGTGTCTGTTGGCCATCAAGGAAAGGTTTGCGTTCAAAGCCTGCTCTTTTTGTTTTTTCTGCAAAAACATTTGTCACCCAATTACTGCTTTTTCCCTTCCGGCTCACATAAAATGGTTAATTTCATTGAAAAGTGCATTTATTTGCATATCCAATGCAAAAGGCGTCCTGCTAGGCAGCCCAAAAAGTTATTGCATTTAATTATATAGCATGTGTTTTCAGAATTGTTCTTTCATGTGTGCGGAGGGTTCATAGTTAAAAATGCGTAGAATTTAAAACACCATTACACCAATTGTAAGCGATTGCAAAAAGGAACAAATAGATTGTCAAATGTTTTATTTTTGTTTAATTGAAAATATGTTTGAGTTGCGAAATGTAATTTGCTAACTGCATTGTCTTTAAAATCGATAGCTTAAATATTTTTGTGCATGGAAATGACTGTAGTGAATGTGACTGTTTTTTGCTCCATCGAATTTCTTATATGAATTGTTTTTCAAATAATCAAATATTTTTTGTTTGCCTTTCAATGGTTATACAATTATTATTCAACTGTCATCAGCACGCGTTGTCGCCGGCGTCTACGACTTTGAAAAAACGCAGAAATGCTGCTGTAAAAAAAGAAAAAAAAAATTTTATTCTAGAGAGTCATTATTCACATAGCATAAGGCAGGATTATCACATCGACCAAGGACAGGACCAAGTAAAAGCCAGACAAAGAGACAGGCTCAAGTGAAAGTCAGGCAGCCATGGTGCAAATCATCGTAGAATGCAAAAAAAATATTCCGGTCAGGAAAATTGTAAAAATTATTGGTTAAAGTCA